GTCTCCAGTGCAGACACTTAGCAACCTCACTGTGTCTGTTCATATATTCTCTCCCAGATAGGCTCTAGCAGTTGCTCAACACAGGCTACACAATATCTTCGGGGAGCAGTTGTCAGTCAATTTTACTTCTTAAATAATTAAAGATTTTTCTTGTCCACTCATAATGAGGCTTTGTCTCTTTTTTGAGGGATGCTTCTAAAATCATCAATTTGTTAATCTTCTATCACCAATAGGTTTGATCTCTCTCCACCACTGTTCATGCATTGATCTCTATGTAAACCTTTCAAATCTTTTTTGGCAGGTTGCTTTCTCCTTTCTTTCATGCTTTCTTGGGCTTGGATGCAGCTCAGTCATTGCTTGTTATCGTGACCAGATGATCTTTATTCTGGTTAATGCCTCATATATTTTGATATTATAGTCTTCATTGTCAATTGCTTCTTCCACAGATAGCAGATGTTTTCCTTCATCGCATCATGGGATGTACATCCTGTCCATGACCTGGTTGCTATCTAATATCCTATGCATTACCGGAAGCTGTCTTCTTTGGATGTTAAGTTTTTTCTTCTCCTCTTGATTCCACTTGATCACTCCAGCAAAGTTCTGTACTACTGGCATCCCCCCACATATTAAGTCTAAGAATTTGATCTGAGCCATTGAGTTTTCTCTGTAGGGTAGTTCTTATACATCTGTAATATTCTTTCCTCACTTTTTCTTATGCTGTAGCTCCAACAGTTCCCTGATTCCAAGATATTTGTAGGGGTCATACTGAGATATCATAGATAGTTCCTTAATTAACCTGTATGTCATGAGGTTGTACCAGTCTGGCCATCTTTACAGATGCTGACACACAGTTAGCCAACCCACCCGTAGTTTTATATCTTCACCAAACTTTTCCATACATCATCAATCTCTGTAGCTCCTTTTTGTGACTGTTCATGTAGTTTCAGACTGCTCATGTCTAACAAATTGTTAACTGGTTGTTGCTCTTTGCTGATATGGTAAATTGTGGATATCTCAACAAGCATCCATGTCAGTGGCAGCATCGTTACCACAAACAGCACTGGTGCTGAGGAATCCCCTTGCAATATTTCTCTTTTAATTTGAACCTCATCAATCGAGTGCTCCAGTTAAACATAGATTGCTGCAGAAAGGAAATGATCTCTGGATGAACCTTGGACATTTTCAGTGTCTCAATGTCCCTTGATTGTGAGACGCTGTTGGATGCTCTCTGATAGTCTATCCACAAAATTGCTAACTTTTTTCTTTCTTTGTTTTGCATCGTGTGATCTTCCTGTTTAGCCAGAGGTGGCCTTTTGTTCCTTTCATGTTTACTGTGCTGCATTTTTGCTCAGGAACCAGCATTCCATTGTGAACTAGCACTATCCAGATCTTCTTTCCCAGTATTATTGTTAGAAGTTTCCATATAGCTGGTAAACATGTGGTCAGTCTATAATTCATAGGATCAATACAAACTTCTTTCTTACTTTTTCCTGTATGAGAAGAGTTCTCCCTGTCACCATCCATCAGATTTCCTTCCAGAAGCAGTGAAACTCGTCAGTGTCATTTATTGGCTCTCTATGTTTGCCTATTCTGTTTTTTAACATCAATCAGATGAAAGAATCTTCTCCGGTCTCTGGTGAAGTGACTGTTCGCTTTATACTAATAAGTCTGTGCTGAAATCTTTCAAGTCCATGACTCTAAGTCAGAGGTGGGCAAACTATGGCCCACGGGCCACATCCGGCCCACAGGACTGTGCTGCCTGGACCCCGAGCTCCTGGTCCGGGAGACTCACCCCCGGCCCCTGCCCTGCTGTTCCCCCTCCCCCAAAACCTCAGCTCGCTTTCTCCACTACCAGCACAATGCTCTGGGCGGCTGGGCTGTGAACTCCTGGGGAAGCTCTGCTGCAGAGCCGGGCCTGACACGGTGCAGTGGGGCGGCCTGGTTCCAGCCGGGCGGCATGGCTCTAGGGCCGTCAGCCACTGGTGCTCCAGGCAGCACAGGAAGGGGGCACGGAGCACGGGGCAGGGGAGTTCAGGGAGGTGTTCAGGGATCAGGAGTGTGGATAGGAGTCGGGGTGGTTGGAACAGGGGGTTGAATGGGGCAGGGGTCCCGGGGGGGCAGTCAGGAAGGAGCGGAGGTTGGATGGGGCGGCAGGGGGCACTCAGGGGCAGGGGTTCTGGGAGCAGTCAAGGGACATGGAGAAGGGGTGGTTGGATGGGGCAGGGGTCCCAGGGAGGCCATCAGGAATGAGAGGAGGGGTTGGATGGGTCAGCGGGGGTCCGGGGATGGTTAGGGGACAGGGAGCGGGAGGAGGTGGATGGGATAGGGATCCCAGGGGTCTGTCAGGGAACGGGGGGGAGGGGGGTTGGATGGTGCGGGAATCCCAGGGGGGGCAGATAAGAGGTGGGGGCCGGGCCACAACCTCCTCCCCTAACCGGCCCTCTGTACAATTTACAAAACCCGTTGCGGCCCTCAGGCCAAAAAGTTTGCCCTCCCCTGCTCCAAGTGATCAGCTTCTCTTTACATTATTCCTTCATAACTTTCATATCCTTTCACTCAGCTGATATTTCATTTCCAAGGCTGTTTGTTGCTCTTTTCTCTTAAACGATGTTTCTCATATTCATCCAGTAGGCTGGTATCTCAATGAAAAACCGTACTCTTCTCTTTTCACCTTAATTTCCATGGAGGTTCTTGAAGATAGGAAATTTTCCAATGATTCATATGTTCAGATGACTTGATGTTAAACAATGATCTGCTACTGTTACTGTACCATAAATTATATAATTGTACTGGATAATCCTTGTTGTGTTTTTCTCCAGTTTCCTTGAACACTTCATTAAGTGCTTGCATTATGTCATCCAGTGTGTGATGGTCTGCACATTTTACAGTTGGTAGCGCTGCATGATCAATTTGCATGATCAGTCTGCATGATCTTGATTAAGAAATCCTTCATATTTTCTCGACTTTCTTCAGGTGCTCTTTCACTCTTATTTGTCCTCAAATTTTCTTCCATTTCTGGCTTCTGTTTTAATCTATGTCACTGCTCCCACCAAAATGTTTGTATGTAGTTCTATATGACTAATCTCCCTTTTCAGGCTTTCAATCTCCTTTGTGTAAATTCTCCTCTTTGGAATAAAGCTCTCATTTCTGCAGTGAGTCTATGCTCAGTCATTTGTTTCCCGGTGTTGTCGTTTGATTATTTCCAGTGTTGGAGCATTCATTTGTTCCAGGCTCTCTCTCCTGGTTTTGCCAAAAGACAAGCTCAGATCACTTCTTGGTTTATAAAATGAGTCCTTTTCACTCTGTTGTCACAAATGATCTGTGGTTGTTGGAACAGTTTCCTGATACATGAGGTTGCCCACCTCCACACGAAACACTCTCCTGGGGAGGAAGCTGTGATTCAGATAAGGTCTTCTGAGGCACACTTTAGAGGTAATTGATAATTATTATGAATGTCACATTCTCCATACTGGTTTGGGTTGACAGGCTATATATCCCATTAGGTTGGACACCAGAATTTCTAGGCCTTGGAGGTTTCTTCCTCTTCTTCTAGAGATTTTAATGGTGTCATAAACAGATAGTTAAGGGTTAATGCCACTTTTACCTGTAAAGGGGTAAGAAGTTCACCTAGACTAGCTGACACCTGACCAGAGGAAACAATGGGGGGATAAGCTGCTTCAAAAGGAAGGAGGGAAGATTCCTTTGTTTGGCCAAACTGAAACTGACCCTAGAGTGGAAAAGATCAAGGAATCAGCCTCTTTACAGAGCAGTGTGTATTAGAAAGGGAATAAATAGGTTTATGTTTATTTTCTTATTATAACTTGTCTTTAGGTAGTTAATCTAATTGGTTTATTCTTTTGTGTAACTAAGTTTTTGCCCAGGGGAACATCCTCTGTGTTTTGAATCTGTTGTCTGTGAGAGTAGCTGGTATGCTAATCTCTCCCAGAGGTGTGTGTTGTTGTTTTTTTTAACCTTTCTTTTCTTTAATTAAAAGCCTTTTTTTTAAAATAACCTGATTGAATTTTCCTTGTTTTTAGATCCAAGGGAATTGGATCTGGACTGAACAGGGATTTGTGGGGGAAAAAGGGGGTGGGGGGAATGAGTAATTCTTCCTTGTTTTAAGATCCAAGGGGTTTGGATCGGTGTTCACCAGGGAATTGGTAGAGGAGTCTCTCAAGGCTACCCAGCAAGGGAAAGGTTTTGGGGGGGAAGACAGAGTTTCCCAAATGACTCAAACTATTTGGGTGGTGGCAGCTAGACCAGATCTAAGCTGGTAATTCAGCTTAGGGATTCACATGCAGGTCCCCACATCTGTACTCTAAAGTTCAGAGTGGGGGGTGAAACCTATGACAAATAGGGATAAATCCAGTAAGATACTACAGATATTACATTCTGTAGTTTTTGTAGAGTATTTATAGAATTGGCCAGATCCCATGCTGGTGTGCATCAGCCATAGCTCCATAGGCATAAATAGGCCAAATCGCCAGCTGCGGTAAATCAGCCATAGCTCTATTGAAGTTAATAGGACAGATGAAAGAGATATTAGGAAAGAGAAAGACAACAAGGGTGACTTTATATCCTGGTGGTTAGGGCACTCACCTTCAGATGCAGGAGACAGAGTATCCAGTCCCTCTGCTCCAAAGCTTTTTTATTATTTAACCACAGTGGAACAGCTTCAACAGGAGAGAATGAGGGAGCCCTATGTCCAACTGTCCCAATGTCACAGTTGAGCAGAGTTTCTGTGAATACCAGTGGGGCATGATCCTGGGATTTAGGCAACTAAAGGAGTAATTTGGTGCCAAAGTCCTTTTCTGCATCTAGCCCATTTTTGTCTATTTTAAATACACATTTAATAGGATGTAGTAGGCCTCTCTTTACATTCATCCTAGTGATCAGATGATGTCCACAGGACATTTCAATTTACTTGTGTGTTAATTTTATTTTTTCCAGTCTGACAGGTCAGCTTTCCTGAGTAAGGATCAATGGGAAATCAAACCAAGATGACTGAATTTATTATCCTGGGACTTTCCAATAACCTGCAGATGCAGATTTTTCTCTTCCTGGTGTTTTTAGTTGTCTACCTAGTCACGCTTTTGGCAAACATGGTGATCATGGTGGTGATAAGGTCTGATCCTCACCTTCACACCCCAATGTACTTCTTCCTGTCTCATTTATCCTTTGTTGATATCTGCTATTTCTCAGCCATTGTCCCTCATATGTTGGTGCATTTCCTAGCAGAGCACAAAACCATTTCTGTCAATATCTGCATTGAACAGATGTTCTTCTTTTTTCTACTAGCTGCTACTGAAATTTGTATTCTCTCAGCGATGGCTTATGATCACTACGCTGCCATCTGTGACCCACTGCGTTACATGAACACAGTGAGCACAAGGACCTGTGTTCAGCTGGAGAGTGGTGCATAGGTGATAGACTTCTTCCATGCCCTTCTTAACACTGTTTCTGCCCTCATGTTTCTCAAGTACTGTCAATCTTATTTAAAAAAAGGGGCATAGAATGTGGATAGCTTGTGTCTCTGCTCAGGTATCTGACACTTTGGGCCAAAGCCTCAGCTAGTGTAAATCAGAGTGGCTCCATTGAACTCAGCAGGCCACATCCCCATTGGGTAGAAGAGACACTGGAGCAAATGGGACGGGATCCTGGGTCTCCATCTAGGGTGAGTGCTAGAAGCACCAAGATCTAGAGCCATTCATGCTCTCTCTCGACCAATATCTCTTTCAATCTGACCCACTGACTTGAATGGAGCTATGGCCAATTTATACCACTTGAGGATCTGGCCAGTTCTATGAAAAGAACATCTTTGTCTTTTGCATTCTGTAGTTCTTCTAGAGCATTTTGTTGAAAACCCTATTTAATATCTGTAGTATCTTATAGGATTCATCCCTTTTAATGTCCATCTCTAAGAATAATAAATAGTGTGATCCCCAGCTGGGCCAAGGTGCACATAGGAATTAAGGCTCTATTAGGAGAGATTGAGAGAGACACATATCAAGTATCCCATATCGCAGTGGTTAGGACATCCATAGGGGAGGAAACAGATCCCTTTTTAAAATTTTTCTCCTTATCAGGCACTCAAAAAGGGTCTGCTACATCCCTGATTACTAGGATAAAAGCTGAGGGGTTTCCTCCCCCTAATTCCTTCTTCTTTTCTCCCCTCTCTCACCATGGTTTCTTGCCATATTAGGTGGGATAAGAAGTTTTCCAGCTGATAATTCCTAGGTGAAGGAGGTGCCTTCCCCCAGAGGAGATAGGGACTGAACTCCTGTGATAGCCGCAGGATTTAGAACACAACCCTCTGCTTGGCCTTTCCCATTGGCTAAGGAACCATCTGTCATGTTGGCTTTTTAAAATCCCATTCTTAGGTGCCTTTGTCTCCCCTTTCACTGTGTAGGGAGCCTGGCCGCACAACTCAGGCTCTGGAAACTAAGTGATTAAAAAAAAAATCACCTAAAAGTTATCCACTAAAATGCTCAGCATTAGAACAGCTATGTCTCTTTGTGAACTCTGGATGTAAATTGACATAGCGCCATTAAATCAATGGAACTAGGTGGATTTACATGAACTGGGAATCTGGCCCATAGTGTCCATATTCTAAAGTGATTTTACATTCCTCACATTTCACTCACCGTTGAGTTGGAAAGACCCGTGTGTCATCAAATTTCCACTTAAATCCTAAACATAATAGGAAGTGGTGCTGGCTCTATGCACCCCAGTGAAATTCCCCCTTAGATGCAGCACCGCAGCTGGTGGAAAGCAACATGACTCCACTGAAAGAAACAGGGCTACACTGAGATATGTCAGCTGAGGATCTTGCCTCAGTGAATAAAGTTATGATTCAGAATCCACCTTTTGTCAAAGTTGAATTGCAGAGATATCGTCTCAGGTAAATGAAGAGTCAGCCAGCAGGCTGGGATTTTCAAAAGAATTTGGCAAGTTAGGTGCCCTACTCCTATTGGATGGGGAAAATGTAGTCCCAGTGACATGCCCAAGGTCAGTCAGAAAGTCAGTGGAGAGGAAGATATTGAAGCCTGATCTCTTCCATTCCTGTCTCTGACTTGAATCACACAATCATCCATGTTCCCACTGGTAGTCCCATATCTCTTCCCATCTCAGCCTTGTACTAACAGAATGAACTCCCTTCCCAGTTAAGAAAGACACCACCCTCTCCTCCCAGTTTCACAGGGAGAATTTCTTCTTTCACATTCTTCACAAAAAATGAATAGAGCTGGTTGAAAATGGGAATATTTTAATGACGAAAATCATGCTCCTTTTTCTCATCAAAATTCACAACTTTTGCAACCAGCTCATTGAATAGAAAATATCATGATTTAGCTACTCTCACCTCCTGCTTTTGCCGGGTGTCCTGCCTATTAAGCATCACTCTGTTGTACTGTAATTTCTTTAGAACAGGAATGATGACCAATTCTATGTTTGTTAGTTCTGGTCAAAACTTTTCCCATGTTTGGAAAGCAAAGTCTGAAAGTGTTGTTTCTTCAAGATAGAAATTTTCTGTGGGAAAATCTGAATTTTGAAGAAAAATATTTCTTTGGGGGGGGGCGGGAGATTCCATTTCAAATTTACATCTCAAAATGAAATGAAAGTTTTATTTCAAAATGTTCAATTAAAATGAGAACTTTCATTTTGAATTGATATTTTCACTTAAATTGACAACAAAATGACTCATCTCAAGCTCGTTGTAAATAAAAATGTTCATTTAACATGAAAGATTTCATTTGAAATGGACACTTCAAGAGGAAATGTTTTGTTACAATCAAATTTTAAAATGAAATATTTAGTCATTTCCTCATCCTAGCCTCTTGAAATGTCAACATTTTCATCAGATGAAGAATTCTCTCTCTTCGGCCCCTTTTGGGATTAAACAAAATGTCAAAATACGGAGCTTCCTGTGTGATGAAAATTTCTGTATCATATCTAATATTTGTAAACTGCCAAGTATAACAAGGAACTGATTTCATAGTTTCAAAAGCCAGAAGAGACCTGTGTGATCCCCTAGTCTGACCTCCTATATAACACAGGACAGATTAGATAGATAGACCGAGAAACTGAAGAGACCACTTCTTTATTATCTATTATATTTAAGCTCTCTGGGTCATAGACTCTCTTTAATTTCATCTTAAGCACCGAGACTAGTATTTTGTTGGTGCTTAATGGAGATTGATGGTAATAACCTTCTGTAATTTGGGGGAAAGAACCTCACAAATGGACTGCAGAGTTTAATACATGTTGTAATAATTCAGCCTAGTTCACCTTCATAGACTCATAGACTCATAGACTTTAAGGTCAGAAGGGACCATTATGATCATCTGGTCTGACCCCCTGCATGCTGCAGGCCACAAAACCCTTCCCTGGACTTTGCCTTTGAAGTCCCCAATCCTGTGTTTCAGTGACTTCAATCGGCAGAGGCCCTCCTG